AGACGGCGGGATACGCCGCGGAGCCAGCATTTTCCGGTGCCGCTTTCTGCCTGAGCCTGGTCGTTCCAACTGCACGACAGGAGTCCTCCTCGCCCCAATATGAGATGCGTCTACAGATTGTTCCGCCGATGCAGTGCTGCTAGGTGCAGTGGTCTCGTTGCTATTCTGTTGTGCAGCGGGGGTTAATTGCGTCACTGGGCCAGGGTTCAGTTCTGATTTGTTGCATCCGGCATTGCCGCTTGCAAGTGAAGTTGACGGAGTTTTGGCACTGGGACTATCCGACTCGTTGTCTGTCAGACTTCCGGAATTTGCAGCATTCAAGCTCAGCTCTTTGGGACTATGACATTTGGAGGCGTAGTCGTCACTGTCACTATCGCCGCTAGATTCACCATTGGCGTTGTCTTCGTTCTCGTCGTCCGAGTAGTCTTCTTGTTCGTCCTCTTCCTCGTAGCTGCTAGCATCCGTCATTGACTCCATCAATGAGCGCGGGACACTTGATGATGGAACGTAAACCATGCACTGATCGTTTTCGCTGCTGGGCACCAGCTTCGGTTTAATTCCTCCAAACTCCTCCAGGCAGTGTGAGCAGAACCAGTCTTCCTCTTTATCCAGCCTTGTGATCGGCGGCTGCGCACAGCTGACATGGTAAGCGCGCGGACATCCATCGCAGCACAACAGACTACCTCCTGTCGCGCACAGCTCGCAGTGGCGATTATGATAGACCTCGAATGTCTCCGTTTCGGGATCCGATTCGTCGACCCATTGGCGCAGTCTCTCTGCTTCCTTCTTTGTCTTCCTCGTCTTCGTTGCCTTCTGATGCCTCGACCACTTTTTGAAATCATCTGTGCGTTTCCACAAATAATATCTACTCACGACTTCGCGGGTTATCACCTTCTCTCCGAGAGCTTGCTGCTCAAAGAGGTCGACGTCATGACGGAACGATTGATACCTTTCTAGATGATAATCGCCGTACGCACCTTCACGAGGTGAAATTTCTTGCCGTGCGCCGCTACAGCATCATTGAGCGCTTCAAATGGTAGTCGTTTGTCCAGGTCGTGTCGCGTTTTGTATTTTTCTCGTCGAGCAGCGTGCAGTAGCCCCACAGCCTTTGGCACGTCGAATTCGCCATCAAAAAGGCACTCGAGCGCCTGTAACGCATTGAAATTGGGCACAATAGTCGCTAAGATCATAATGTTCTTCTGATTTGCTAATACAAGCGACATCCAAACGAACCAGTTCCTTTTCCTTAAGCCACGCGAATTCCGTGAGGAACTCCTCGATATCTTCAGCCTTCAGCGGCGACACCGCTCCCTCGATATGTCGCTCACCCCATCGCTGACGACACTGCGGTTTGTACACCAGGCTGTCTCGCTGTTCCTGCGATAGCATCGCCGGTATGTCTGCTCGACATGCAGCGAGCTTCTTCGACACCATCGAGATCGCTTTTGATGCCTTTTGATTTTTTGGGAACAAGAAATATATTACCGTAGTTTCATAAATTACATGGTGAGATTGTGAGCTGAAATTTAAATTACCGTTTTTGTTTTGAACCTGGTCGGGCGTTACGTTCGTAGAGTCCTGGTCTGCAGGTCGAAATAGCTCCTGCGGTTGGATTGAGAAGGAAGCGCATGCGCAGCGTGGATGCTCGCACTACAGTTCGAAATAGCCCGAACTCGAAGCAATGGCGACGTCCCAGTCCAGCGCCGTGATGCCAGCGACCATGTTGATGTTGCAGAATCCTGACAAGCCCGCAAAAATGATGCGCGAGGAGGAGGAGGCGCTGCAGCGCCGAGAGCGACGTCGTCACCAGTGCCGTGTTAGCCAGCGGCGCTACCGCGACAAACAGGGCTCGGCTGAGTACAACCTAAAGCTGGACGTCAACAACCTGCGCGAGCATGTGCAGCGCCTCCAGGGCATGCGGGAGCTACTGGAGACCAAGATCTGGAGCAGTCGATTGGCCCGCGACGGGGCCGCGGTCAAGGCTGCCGAGAAGTACTACACTGTCTTCTCGCATGGGATGCACAACCCCGAAGCTGGAGGCGATCATGTTCGCAAATGCTTCGACATGCAGGTGACCTTCGTCAAGGCTTTCATGGACGATGACGTAGAGTTCGGCGATTCGCGCGGTGTGTCGGCCGTACTGAATCAGTGGCATTTGTACACACAGTTCCACGCCACTTTGTCCGTGCGTATGCTGTCGGCCGAGGTCTGCGGCACTGAGGAAACTCCTATTGTCGTGGTGAAGGGAGTGCTCGCTGTACGG